GTGAGGAACTAAAATATTAACAGTAAGTTAATCGGTTTCAGTTCATCAGCACTTTTAGAATTTGCCATGCAAGAAAACCAAATAAGACGAGCTGAGTGGACATGCCTGTCATGATAATATTTAACGCCAAATTTATTATTATAATAATACAGAGTAAGTAAGTAAGTCATTTGACACATAACACATGCAGGATGATGACTCAGGGAAGATACAGGACAGAGCCAAACTTTCAGCACTGTGCTCACAATTTTGAGCCATTCACTCACAGTTACGCACTCACTCTGAAAAGAAAAAGCATAATCTCATTCCCAAGAAATTCCCAACTATCACAAATCCCACAAACAAATTCAGAAGCTTTTTTTATTTGATTTTTGTTTTTTATTTTTTGTTTTTGCGTTTTCTCATAAATTTCAGCAGGCAGTCGCGTAAATGTCCAGCTGTTACAATACATGTATTCAAGTCTTTTAGTTGTATAACCGACACTGACCCTTTTTAATAAATCCAGGTAGCTTTTTGACGCGAAGAAAGGATTTTGCGCTGGCGACCGTTAATAAATTTGGTGCAAGTGTTTTGTTTTGTGTTAATTAACTTTTACGGATGCAAAGAACAGGATCAAGTGAGTTTCAACAAAACAATACAGCTTATTAAAAAAAAAAGTCTCCGGTGTTTCAAAGTAAGCAGTGATGGTGACTTGCTTTTACGAAACTACCTAGAAACTAGGAAATCAATTCAATTTATTTTGCACAAAATCACAACAGCAGTCGCCTTTAGGCTTTATATTGTAAGGCAGATACCTACATTAATCCTTTTCTTGTCTGAAGACGTATTCCTTTGCTTGTTGTTCATCATCACAGTCAGAGAGAGAGCGCAAAATCTTCTTGTTTCCATGATTATTCCTCCCACACACTTTTGTGTGATTTGGGGATGCTCAGTCAAATAATAAAAATAATACATTTTAGATTATCTGGACTCCTGGGACAGTGTGTGTGACAGTCCAACAGGACTGACTTTGCTTTATCTGCTTTATTTCTGAAGCACTTTTTTAAAGCAAATGTAAAACGTTTTTTAAAAACATAAAACTGATATTCTGTTTAGATATATTATTTTAACTAAAACTGATGTAGGTCAAAATAAGTACATTGAAAATTAAAAACCACTCAAACTAAAAAAGGCATTAGCAGTGATAAAAAGGCAAACAATTCAAATATGTAGAGAAGAAAGAGAAGAAGAAATTTGAAAGAACTCACAAAATTTGCACACCTAAAATACCCAGGCCGGACAGTCCAATGTGTCTCGCTGACGTTGAGCAGCAGGTCCTAAGGTCCCGTACATTTTTTACTACACATAGCTTGGGTTTGTTTGATTATTTCTTGGTTGTAACAATGCTTCTTTGCAATAAATCTTGTTGCCTTGCAAGTAGTTTGTTGGTGCAGCAGCATATTAAATGGGATTTTAGTCATCTGGGACAGGCTCCAGCCTCCCCCGGCTACCCTGAATTAGTCACAAAGAAGAGAATGGATAAATGGATGGATTTTAGTCAGTTTGTGAGGATGTGTGTTTAACAGACTTCTCTCTTTTGTTCCCGTTTTGTAGACATCATAGCTGACTTTGTTACTGTTTAAGCAAAAGGATATAGAGGCTTCAGTTAAGAGACCACAAGAGTCAGTGTAGGTCAGGCTCCACAACTTGATTAAGATTTACTGAAACTATGAAAAAAAGGAAGAAGTCATAACTTCAGCTGCTGGCAGCAAACCAACCTCTCCTGGGACACTAGGAGTATTCTGTTAGCAAACAAACTATGAAAGCTACCACAAATACCGCACTAAATGAACATACTAACAAATTATGTTAATGCAAATATTGAGAGAACTCCCAGTATATCCACCAAACCTGTGGCCAGAGGCCAGCCATGCACTCGCTGCAGGACTAGAAACAAAAAGGACAGAATGACAGTTATGCAAAATTCACCTAACAAACAGATAAACAAATGATACTGCAAATGAAAGCGAAAACATCCTAGAATCAGCAACAGTCAGTGCTCCACTAGGCAAAAGTGTAAATTAGGCCAAACCACAAGATAAATGAAACAGTCCAGGACAGTGGAGGGAAAATAATGATTATTGTTATTATTATTTACTTATTTGAGATCGTCACAAAAACTAAAAATGATTCAATGTGACTGTGTCATCAAATAAAAATGTCTTGAGCTTAAGACAACTAAGACTACAACTCCCAGACTACAAGGCGGCTGTGTTTGGTGCTACCATCAAATAGGTATTTCCTGTTCCTGCCAATGTTATCTCGTAAGTGATTTGCTGTGTTATTCAACAACTCGTTTTAGCTGCTGTCACTTTCTGCTGCTGCTGACTTCACTGACTGTAACTACCGCTGTAAGTCCCTAATAAGGTAAACTAACTGTCAAGCTAAATGTTTAAACGTGTGTAAAAAGAAAGTGTTGTTAATGCTTCTTACATATTCGAGGTTTCTTTCGAAATTAAAACTTAAAAACTGTATAATAAAAGTATAACAATAAAAGTGTATTATAAGATAGTAAGCGGGTAGTTTTCTCGCTATCTTTTATTTGTCGTGGAAAAACAAACAAACAAAAAACCATCGTGTCAAAAAGTGTGTTTATTTAACGTCTGCTTGCAGATGATGAGGCTGCCATGGCGGGTCCTGGCTCCACACACAGCACCTGTAAGGAGAGCCTCCTCAGTCCCTGCAGGGCTGATGAACTTTGTCCCCGCCTGCAGCACCACCGACGCCCACTCACTGGAGCTGCTGCAGGACTTTGTGACCCGAGCCAGACGCCTGTTTGTCATCACCGGAGCGGGTCTGTCCACGGAGTCGGGCATCCCCGATTACCGATCGGAGGGCGTCGGGCTGTACGCCCGCACTGACAGACGACCCATGCAGTACGCAGAGTTTGTCCGCAGCGCAAAGTCCCGTCAGCGCTACTGGGCCAGAAACTTCGTCGGATGGCCGCAGTTTTCCTCCCACTGGCCGAACTCTGCACACAAGGCCCTGCAGCGGTGGGAGGAGAGAGGCAAGCTGCACTGGCTGGTTACGCAGAATGTGGATGCTCTTCACTCAAAGGCAGGTCAGAAGAGACTCACAGAGCTCCACGGCTGTGCCCACAGGTGAGAACGCATAAACTCACATATGCATCATAGACAATAAGCGTCAATTAAGAAGTTATGGCAGTCTTACAACAATACAATACAATGTACTGTATAAACACTACTTATTTATGAGTAAAAGCCATGCACTGAGAATGCCACATAGGTAAAAGGTTCCAGGTTTCATTGGCAAAATGTTGATTACTTTAGTGATGTTTTCATGTGCAATCACCACTATATTCTACAGTTCTGTGAAAGCATTTACCCCCTTCCTGAAAAATGGACTTCACTGCCACTAATCGAGTCAATATATCATGCCACGATCCAAAGAAACTCAAGAACAGCTGAGAAACAGTCACTGACATCCATCAGTCTGTAAAGACATTGGTTTGGTGACAGTAATTAAAACACACACCCTCTGCATCACCAGGAGTTATTAGGAAATTCTGTCTGTTTGCATGTTAACTGACTAGAAGACATTTTGAGGATGAAATCTGGGCGTCCTCAGGGTCACGTGCCTTGGCTGTGGTGCCATCTCAGCACGGGAGGAGCTCCAGAGGCAATTTATATCTTTAAACCCAGAGTGGCAAGCTCAGGCAGGCACTGTGGCCCCAGACGGAGACGTCTTCTTGGAGGATGAGCAGGTCCTCCATTTCAGAGTTCCCTCCTGTGATGACTGTGGTGGGATACTGAAGCCTGAGGTCACGTTTTTTGGAGACTCCGTGAACAAAGCAACTGTGCAGTTTGTGCACGAAAGGCTGGCAGAGTCGGACGCGGTGCTCGTCATGGGGTCATCTTTACAGGTGGGTCTTGGATTAACTAGTAAACCAGTTTGTTAGCTTTCAGCAACACTGTTCCTTAACTGAATACGTTGTTCCTCATTGATGTTTCTCAGGTGTACTCAGGATACAGGTTTTTACTGGCAGCGAGGGACAGGGAGATGCCGGTCGCCATCCTGAACATAGGGCCCACCCGAGCAGACCACCTGGCAGAGCTGAAAGTCAGCGGCCGCTGCGGGGAAGTGCTGTCAGTCATTCAGCCGCTCTGACTGACCGCAGCCTAAATAGCTTGAAGTGCTCTGCTGGTTAGGTTAAAACTACCTCAGATTTATGGAAACAGTTGCTCTTTGTTGTTACACGCTGTATGCAGGTGAATGAATGTTAATAATTGTGAGATATAAATGTGTAAGACTTGAATCCAGCTGATCTTCATACAGCAGGTTGGTGTCAGGGAGCTGAAATCCTGTCTCTGCAATCAAATGTCAACCTACCAGGAAAACAGAAAGGCTGTGCTTTGTTGTGTGATTGCTGGTTTTAGGTTGGCACAATAATGGCATGCAGGTCAAATGGGTGAAGTGAAATAATAATGTGCAGGCTTGAAGGAAAACAGAGGTACCCCATTTCCTTCCTCAAGCTCTTTTCACTTTATAGATGGACTGCATTCATGTACAATGTCTTTTCAAGTCTTATCAAACACACAAAGCACCATCACTATATACTGACGACACCTTTGGATTCAAACGCTCTTATTCTGATAAGACAAAAAGACACAGGGTGGCTGCTCTGATGTAGATGGGAAGATGCAATATAAATGTTTATTTTCATGTTCTGCCACCAGATCTGTTTTAAAAGGTGCAATTTGTTCTTCTTCCTTTTTTTTTATTACGCAATACTCAGATGGTTAGTATTTTGATTGATTTTAAATGCTGCCGTATTCAATTTGGCAGCATTTCCATTTTTTGTGAATTAAACCGCTTAAAGTAGGTTGAATTAAACTTTTTCAGGCTGGATTTTAAAGTGGCATTATGCTGTCGTTTTAAAGTTATGCAGTGGAAACTTTCTGTAATAAAATATTCAGAAAATAAGAGATTTTGGAATTTATTATCACACTTGCAAGCCGGAAATATTCATCATTAAAGAAGTTTCGAACCTTGGTGTATCAAACATGAGGGCCAGAATCAGATAACAAAGATTCCGATCCGGCCCACTGCACGACTTTTGAAAACACAAAGGGTGTAAAATTTTGGACTGAATGTATTTTCATAAGTTTTCATGCTAATAAAGAGCTCCCTCATGGCTATTCATACTACACCAAAGTAATTAAGTCGTAGATAACAATGAAATTACAGAAATGTCTATTTTATGTGTGCATAGTAAGAAAAAAACATCTGAATTTAAAAAACACTCTTTTCTAATTACAGGGTAGTCTGAGTAATGGGCTACTAGAGCTTTTTCTGTAACATTTCTCTCTCAAATTAAGCCTGAAGAGATGTGCTGACAGATTCTTCCATTAACTACAGCAGCATTTCTGTATCTGTGGAAAAACCGAGATATGCTGTAGAACTCGCACTGCTTTTTCTGATATTAACATGTCTCAGAGATTAAATGTGTAGTTAAACTTTACACTGACAGAAAGCGGAGTTTCACTGTTGCGGTCCGCTGAAGCTCAGAGGGTGATGTATGTAGTTTGACATCCCACTCTAACAAAACAGCTTTCTCTCACACTAGTCTTAACCTGAGTTATGTATTGTCAGGTCATGTTGCATTATAGTCGCTATTTTCATGAGTGAGGTCAATGACAATATAGTTTATCAGTTAAAACGTTCTGATGAGAACGTTTTTCCTCATGAATTTAAACACTTGAAACAGCATTATCTATACAAGGACGCAAACACACACGCTGAAGAACGACATTAATGCACGTGTTCTGAAAACCAGGTGTTAACTCTGATCCATCTTGTGGAACCTGTCGCCCACATCAATGACCCAACAGCTGCTTTGACAGTGTTTATTACGGTCATAAATAATCCACAGCATTTGCTTTAAAGACAAACTTACATCATGTTCACAGACAAACTGAGGGCAGTGTGACTATAGATTGATTAATCGTGAGATCTTTTAGGAGGTTTTGCTGCTCAAATCTCTGCTGCAGACGGAGCTTCCAGGTTTCCAGGTCAGACTTTATCTCCTCTTGGAGAGCAGCCGGGACACTGAAGGAATACAGACAACATCTGTGAGCTGCAGTATCCGGCTGCCATGTTGCTGAAGCCGTAAGCACCGTGAGGGGAGTCATGGACAGACAGTTGTCGAAACTCTTAGTGTGATCAAACCAGTAAATGACGGGGTAACCCAGTAAGAGCCCAAACACAGTGCACAGGTTCCACTCCTCACATTTCTCTCCGCCACTGAGAAGCCTCTCAACCCCTTCAAGCTGCTGCACCCCTCCCAGTAGAAGTAGTAAATCTTGTATCATGCGCTTCAGGTCTCCCCTCAGTGGGTCAGCGACGGTGGGAGTTTCCTGTGAGTGGCAGACATCAATCACAGCGACGCTGCTCCCGTCATGAAGAACCTGCTCTAGATTTGACTTGACTGTGACCGGATTAACAATGAGACCATTTCCATTTAAATCCAGCGTGAGAAGCGATTTAGACACAAGCTGGAGAGACTGTAAAGAGCTCAGATAGTGCTTCACTTGCTCTGCACAGGCACCATTAATATCGTACAGAACAGCAGGCTTCAACCCCAAATCTACAGCTGACACCTGTGAAGCCAGGTCCAGACTCTGAGGAGCAGAGAGGGACTTTCTACCAGCAGACAGATATTTACGAGCAGCAGCAACAAAGAGCTCTGAAACAGACATGACTGCATAAAAATCACGTCACACGAGACTGAGGAGTCAAGCAGCAGGACTAGAGATATTTCTATTTAAAGTAACTGCTTAGCTGGGAATCAAGCACAAAAATTAAATGGTTTTTTTTTAAAGGTAATCTACACTTACAAGAAAGGTTTAAAAAAACTAACAAATGGTCAAAAGGTCAATGGATCTAACACAAGTAAACAAGACAAAAGTTTTCAAACTAAAACACGTCATAAAAACTGTTTCATGAGTTTATTTGTGTCCACTGTTTCTTCTTTGTTGGTCCAAGATGCCTAAAGGAGAAGAAACGTGTCATTCAGAATAATCTGTAGAAAAACAGCAGTTATTCCGTGATAAATTCTGCTTTTGTTCATTAGAGGTGTGCACACAGATCACACCTCTCTCCAGCTCTAGTAAAGAAGATGACCTCACCATCATCCTGGTTGTGATGTATTTGGGTCACGCTATGTCACTGGCTGAGGAGACATCAGGTCAAAATCGGAGAGATTTCTTGCAACCCAAACACCAGCTGCAAACAAGCCCAAATTCACCAGAAGATTCCTTAAAAAAGAAAAGAAAAAAGGTTTAAACAATCAGTGATGCCATCAACAGCAACAATACCCTGTTCAACCTGTGGCTACAGGTTGTGCTGTGCGGGGAAACTGATCAAACATAAATTTATAAGACAACAGGTATCTATAACCTCACCCATCTATTAATTTATATTCTTCTCTTTATCCAGAGCTAGGTCCTGGAGAGAACAGCCTAAGCAGAGAAGCTCAGACTTCCCTCAGAGCTCCCTTCCCAGCCACCTGCTCCGGGTGAGATGCCAAGGCTTTCCCAGGTCAGCTGAGCAATATAACCTCTCCAGCATGTCTTGGGTCTACCCCACAGCTACAGAGGCTGGCTATTTTTTTTAAATAAATATATGAATATATAAATATATCTTATAGGCTTAACATCATACCTAGTATATCCGGTGCGTGACATTTTCCTTAATCCTTGGGGAGCCAGTATTTTGGCATATTTGGTACACAGTTGTTGAGAATTCTGGTGTCCAGGTAATCCTACATAGCTTACAATGTGCTGCTGGGATCCAACTGTCTGAACATATTGGCCATTAAACATTGATTAACTAGCTACCCGTCATACTGTATACATTAAGCTTCCTGAGGGCCTTTAGAGTAGAGACTAGACTCTCCCTAAAGTTTGACAAAGTGGTTAATCGATGAGATTAGCCCATTTCTTCTGTTCATTGATAAACAAACTAAAAACAACTATTACGCTGGTAATATTATCATACAACTCCATTAAACTGATGATCATAATTGTAATTTTATTGTCTGTTTCTGTACTTATAGTGTAGCCTAGTGAGTGAGAGGACAAGGACAGATTCCTTCACTGGCACACCAGTGCTAACGCTAGCAACACAGCTAACCGCCCCAAAACCCCTCTTACTATCACTGCTGCCTGCTCTGTCTTACCTTCTGAAGTCGTTTCTATCTGTTGCAAACCGACAGGCCGAGCTGATCCACTCCACCACACCGGAGGAAGAGCCCTTTTTAGCGTTTGCCCCACTCATGTTGCTAACGTGTGTGCTGGGGGTAGAAAAAGACAACGGCAACGAGGGCGAAGAGTCAAGGGGGAAGGTTTTTAGATGTTACACAACTACGGCGTGCGATAAAGCTCAAACCCAAACATACGTCCTCCTCGCTCCACTCAGGACGTGCTGTTACATGACCAAAGATGTCGGCGACCAGGTACCGTCGGTTTCTGAAGCTGTGTGAGGAATGGCCCAGAGACGAGACCAAGAAAGGCCGCGACTTGGGGACCTTTCTGCGGCAGAGAGTCGCCTCTGCCTTCCGAGAGGGTGAAAATACTCAGGTAATGAATTTTAGCTGGTAGCAACACACGGACTCCTCTCTGCTGTAAACAACCGAAAGAAGCTAAGAGGACAGCTTAGTTAGAAGAGCAAGCAGCTGACAACCTAATCCAAAGCCGATTTCTGCGAACTTCAAGACTAGTATTGAGATGTTTGAGGCACTAATGTCCATCAGTCCACCGCTGGTTTTTGCAGCTGGGTCCATCTGAAATCATCCAATGTTTAGAAAATTTTCTACTCATCCGCCTCTGATTTACAATTTGGACATTTATAATCATTGCTGTGAAATTTTAGCTTCATATATCAACAGATATATAAACTTGCTGGAATGGGGTCAGTGGAACACCTTTCACAAATATATCTTGAAAGGTATTTGATGTATAAAGCTACAATTTCACAGCAGTCATTATAAATGGCCGAGACTTCAAGCTGTAAAAATATTTGGGGTAAATGAGTGATGGTCGAACAGAAGATCCACAATGATTTGAGATGGAACGACCCAGCTTTGATGCGCTTTTTTAATAAATCTTGAAAATAAAATAACTATCAGCGTTTGCAACCAAGTAAACAGCCTTTAATCTGTTTCTAAAACATGAAGTTTCTGAGAAGCCAACTATTTGAGCACTGTAAACCATAACATGTAAAAAATATCTTGCCAAAACAGCTGGGATAGGCTCCAGCCCACTACCAACTCGGAACTGGATAAGTAGTAACGAAAAGGAATGGAAAAAGATGGTTTTTGATAATCATAGGTGTTTGATGCCAGCAGAATCTGAGGTGCCAATAAAACACTAGTTTATAAATAAAGGTTAAACTGACTCGCTGCCCCATCTGGTGGTACAAATTGGCATTACACTGACGTTTTACCCTGGCTCTAGTTGAATTTCACCTGCCATCTCTTAAACACAGTACAAGCATTATTTTGCCTTTTGATTCTGTACTGTGTGTTATCTGACCAGTAAGAATCAGATTTAAAAAATGTAACCCACAGACACCAGAGATACGGTGGCATAGTGATTATTTATTTTTATGATGGCATAGTAGAGCACAAGTGCACATAGCATGGCAGTGCATCGCACATCCTCGTGTCTTTTTCACGGAAACCAAAATGACCTGTTTGGAATTTAAAGTTAATAATTAAAATAATGAGAAGATTATTTTTTCCCATTTAAAACATGTTAAGTGAGTAAAATCAAATCTTAACCACTTCAATGTTTCCCCATTAGATCTCAGATCCTGAGAAATGTGATCAGATGTACGAAAGTCTGGCACAGATTAATGGCAACATATACAGACAGCGGGTAAGTACACATGCGCATATGTGAGGTGCATTTCAACTTCATTATATCATCATACAAAAAACACATTGCCCTCCACTGCTGTCGTTAACCTGAGGTCTGTCACCTAGCGAATGACTTCTCCATTCTTTAAGATTGCAAAGGTGTAGTTACTTTTTTTTTTTTTTACCTGTGTGGAGATAAAGTGTGTTTACAGTTAGTACAAAGGTCTAAACAAACACACGAGGTTAATGGTTAAAAATTGTTAAGCTTTAAATTTGAACCATAAAGATCCAGAGATCAGCAGATGTCTGTTTTGCTCCTCTGAATTACTCAACTGTAAATAGGAAAGTTTTACTTAATATAAAAAAAGATTTTAGTAGGAAGACTATTAATTTGTCACATTGCTGTAAGGGGATATTTTCCTTGTGCATGTGAAATGCAGAAAATGGAAGCTGACTTCTTCAAATACTGTGCACACTCCAAATTATTTGAGTACATAAATGAACTTGTATATAATATTTGACTTTTTTCATTTGGAAAGAAATTTCTGTGAAACTTGTCGAAGGCTACAAGAATTTTTCTTTCTCTCTTCAGTTTCCTCGTGTGAGAGACACGAGCTTCACTGGAGTCACAGTGGAAGAGTGTAGATTGCTTTTGTCAGGTATGGACTCGCATGTGCTGTCAATTCTCGGTTATTTACTAAACATAATGTTGTTATGAGGCCCCGGGAACTTGCTGTAACTTAGACCCGACTTTTAAATTTTACAGGAACTATGCAAAATACGGACGAGGAAAAAAAGGGTCTGTGGAAGTCGCTAATGCAGAGATTCTCTTCGAAATCACCAGAAGACGTCCCAGAGAAACCTGCAGAAAAATAACTTCTCCCAATCTTCTTTTCCTATATGTATAGAAATAAATCTTATTGTTATCATTTTGGAGTCATTTTTCAAAAAAAATATATAATATCTATTTAAATTGTAGCTTTAGAAATATTTTTGGATATATTTTGGTCCATATTGACATGAAAGCATCACACAAATTTGTTGACTGCACATCTTTGAGTCTCCTGTTCCATCACATCCCAAAGATGCCATATTAGACTGAGATCTGGTGACTATGGAGGCCATTTGAGGTCAGTGAACTCACTTCCATATCCAAGAATCCAGTTTGAGATGATTTGCGTTTGCGATGAGATACATCATCCTCCTGAGACCAGCCTGAACTGTTGATACAAGGCAGGATGGAGACATGCTTTCATGCCATTCACACCAAATTCTGACCATCATCTGAATATTGCAGCAGAAATTGAGGCCTATCAGAGAGGCAACATTTTTCCAGTCTTGTTCAGTTTTAGTTTACTGTAGCCTCAGTTTGCTGTTCTTAACTGACAGAAGCAGCAAGCAATGTGGTCTTCTGCTGTTGTAGGTCAGCTGCTGCAAGTTTTGTGAATATTCGCTGGTTGGATGTTGTTGAATCAAACTAAATATTTTTATAAGCCTTCACTGGCTGTGTGGTGGAAGTAACCCACAGTCATCAGTTTGTAACACCAGTGTTATTTTACAGTCTTAACAGATTACAGAACTCAATTTCCTGGAGTTTTTCTATTTGGTCAGACTTGAATTTTTTACACATAAGAAATTTTACATTTAAACAAGTCTATAGAAACAATGTTGAAAAACATTTGGTCTACATCACGGCCGTGAGTTGGCTTACCAGGCAGGATTTAATCAGTTAAGCTTGTGTCCGTTTGAGAAATGCACCTGACCATTAATTCAAATTATTTACTTGCAAAGCAAAAATGTTTCATGGACTAGTTTACACAGTTTTCTTATAAATTCACACTTTGAATCCCTTATTTAAGAAAAAAAAAAAAAAAAGGCAAAAACTTTCAGTTTTAAACTGAACAACCAAAACTCCACGTGATGGGGTGACTTAACTAATTTCAATGTAATCACATATTCTGTTCATATTACAGTTTTTCCTATTAGTAATGACATTTCTGAAATTCTTAAGGGATTTTTTTTTAAAGGAACAAAGTAAATGTATTAGAAGCAGGCTGTTATACAGTATCTAAGCAGATAAAATAATGCCTGCTCAGATCTAAAGTACTGCAGATGTTAAAGAGGATACCACTATTTAGAAATGTCGTCTTTATTTATTTTTCTTCTTTTTATTTTGGGCAACATATACGCAAGTATTAGTAAGTCTGTGACCAGCCAACAAGATCATAACAAAGCAGCTGGTAAAGTCAAAAGTGAGACTGACCAGTTTTTTTATTAGTATTATTTTTTTTTAAATAACATTGTGTACGTGATTCAGAATGTAAGTATGTTCCTCAAAACACACAGTCATGATCCCTACTCTTCTTTTTCCTCTGGGTTGTCTCTCCATATGCAGTAGTTGAGGCTGGTTGCAAGGCACAGCCAGCCCAGATAGGGTGCCAAGAGCATCGTGGCGGTGCGGCTGATGGGATACCAGGACATCATGGTGGCTCCGACAGTCCCCGTGAGAAGCACAATCTCAACGAGGGACTAAAAAGAACAGAAAGAGGGCATGTCAGTGACAGCGATGTATACAACTATGCTGCCACACTTACCACACCCCTAATTATTGGTATCCAAATAAAAAAATAGAAAAAAAAAGTACAGTTTTAAGTTAAATTTACCCATTTCAGCTTGTGTGCACCAAAGAAAATGGGAGTCCAGGCCCAATTCAGAGCTAGCTGTGTCCCATAAAGCCCGAGTGGAACTAGTGCATCGTCAGTGAAACCTCCAAGCTCCTTCCACACCAGGTATGAACCATAGCTGGAAGTGAACGACAAAAACAATTCACACGAGATCATTAAGATAAGGAGGCTGCTTCACAGATAATGCAGAAATCAGTCACAATGTGCTTACCCCATGCCTGTGTACAGACACGTCCACACTACGGGGAATGCTTTGTTTGGTGGGCGCCATGATGGTTTCTTCAGGGTTGGGTACCAGGTATCTACCTCTTTGCGTGTGAGGTAACCACCGTAGAGCCCTCCCAGGTGTGGCAGGGCAGTGAACCCAGCTATTTGCAGCCACATTTTCTGAGATAAGAAAAAGACAGCCGTTTAACTTCCACTAAGGGTGGATATTCATAGATATAAGTAGCAAATTTTTCTGCCTAATGCGTCTGCTGTCCCATGACTGACTAAACAGAATTCGCAGTAACAGAAAACGTGAGGATTTTGCTATGCGGACATCCCCGATCAGTTTAGTTTTAGACTTCTTTTTCTTTTTAAACCAGTTTTTTACATTTCAAGGCAGGCATATGTCAATTTCTCTGTTAAAAATTACATTTAACAACTAACAGAAGCATGGCATCATTCAATTTGTGCAGACCAAATGGCCAGCCCTGTTACAGTTCAGCACAAAAATAAAAACTCACACCACATAAATAAAAGCTTATACTTCATAACCAACCAGAATGGCTAAAACACATTAAAGGCATGCTCAATACATCATTACACAACCGACGTCAAATCAAAATATCACTCCTGTAAAGACCACTTTAAATCCTTAGCCAAAGCAACTATCAACTAACATTACAAGGTTGAACCATTTCAGCTTAATTACACCCCAGAGAGTTAACCAAACATACTCCATATTCACACTGATTGGCCTCTTTGCACTCATTAGCCTCAGAAATACAAGCTGTGGTTTTTTTTTTTTTTTTTTTAAAGTAGCATTCCAGTTTTTAATCAGTTATCAATGCATGGAAATGGCTCAAACAGTTTGTGCACTGTTACAGAGTACTTGCTGGCCAGAAATAACAGGGGGGATACATGTAAACAAGATTTACCTTGATACAGTTAAGGTTAATAGTCTGTGTTACCTTTACTGCTATTTTTAACCATCATTTAAGAATTAAAAATGTATGTACTCAAGCTTAAATATACAAGTAAACGTATTCCTTTCCCTTAACATAATCCCAAACCCTTTTTATTTTAATAAGCAGGAAAAGAACAATACCCGCATGAGTCTAATGTCGCTTTCATTTTCTTTCTAACAGTAACGTTACAAAAACTATACTTTTACAATAAATTTAAGCACGTTTGCTGTTGTTCTAGCGCAGCAGTGAAACATGCTAAGTTAACGCTAATTAATTTTTCTTTTACGTGTTCGTGCTCCCAAACATTACGTGCGCTGACTTTCTGAAGTCACGCCGCACTTCAGTGACTCTAGGTCAAGGTTTGGCGGCGCAAAGTTGCATTAAAGCTAATATTGATGTCAGGTCACTAGCAGACATAGCTTAACTTCTTACCTCACTCAGTTAACAGCAGCGTACAGTATGAATGTCGTATCGAGGACTGAACCTACAAACTTACAGCCAAATCTTTAAGCACACTGTTGTGCTGTGATATTGTTTGTTGAGTGGGCAGGGCCACCTTATCGGAGCAGTCAGAAACACTCCCCTGACACTCCCTGGATAACGAGTGCTACTTGCGCTACTGAGCCAAACAATGTCACGTAGGAGCGTGGTTACCAACGATTGGTCACGAGGATAACATCAGGAGTTACTTAACGGTCGAAAAAACCGGTTGTTAGCTAAATAAATGTGTTGCACAAGACCTCGGTAACACAAATGTTTAAAAAAACGCGAAAAACGTATTCGCTCACTGCTTTGTTTGTTGTCTCGTGTCCTTTTTGCAGAGGAAGCGCACGAAGCTTGTTATGTGACAGCAAAGATTACAAAAACGTCAAGATAGTTACCCTCCGTGTCGTCTGGCAGGCGTTACAGTGCTTTCCTTTCCTGTTCCAACAGCTTAAGCTAACAATTGTTTCCGCCACCGAAAAAACTTCCCCAAAATTATGACTTATGGGTAAGTCATAATTTTGGGACATTATCGCTTTAGGTAGCTCAATATTTAAACTTACTAGCTGAAATTTTGGGGAAAATAAGATCACATTTCTAGTTATTAAGTGAAAATGTTTAGACAACTTAAAATGTCATCTATTCGCATCTATAAACATACGGCCCGGGGGCTACAATCAGCCAGGATCCAATCCAGCCCACTGAATGGCTTTGGAAACATTTGAAACATTTTACTGTTTTCCCTCGTGTTCTGCCCGATGGCAATTCACATTGCACTGAAGTAATCAATTATAGATTTCTATAATTTTACACATTTACTTTATTTACAGTTTAAGCCCAGTCGTGCTGACATGACAGACTTGTTTCATTTACTATGGCATAATTTCTTTGTAATGTAGAAAAAACGAAAAATACCGTTAAAATGGTGCTTCTTTGTTTTATGTTAAAATGTTGCAGAGATTAATTATGTAGTTAAACTATTTTACACTGACAGAAATAGGAATTTCACCAATCCTGCCCATATAAGATCAAAGTGAGCTGGATGTGGCCCACAGTGTAAAATGAGTTTTACATCCCTGCTTTATGAACTATACAAACTTATTTCTATTAATTTTCTTACCTTTTTTTTGTACAGTTTAGGCTTGGAGGATAGTCATAGCCTGTTCCAGCTGTCACAGGTTAGAGCCAGGCCTAACTCATAGATTCAAGTTACCATGCACACTACAGTCAGTCTATTTATTTTTATTTTTATTTTTTATCTATTTAAGCTTGAATTTGTCCACCTGTCACACAGCAATACAGAGCAGACTTTATATTTCTAATACTTACTGGTGGAGTATGCATGAGAAATAACAAGAGTGGGGTTGAGGGAATACCTCTACCAGCGCCCTTATTCACATCACAATACTGTTCAGTAGCCAAATACAGTTATTTCTTTATCTGTGCAGTTCTTGCAACACTACTTGTCTGTCTTCAAACCGCGTGTGTCAGGTAAGGAAACAGATGCCAGTGTTGAGATCCAGTTGCATGAGCAGATTTCTGAGAGAGTGCAGAGAACTTCCTCTTTATGTTTGAAGCAATGACTGTAGAAAACATAATGAAAAGCTGTGAAACTTGTGTAGATACAGTTAAAAGTCCAACATTTCTACTTATGCTTGTTTGTGGTGAGCAGCAGATCAAAAAAGTTTAGGATTATAAATGTCTTCAAGTGCATATTCAGGCCTGTGAGACTCATTCAAACATTTTCACTTGTTACCTCACTTTTCCCGGACACACTTGCGTCTGCACATACTTTGTCAGTCAAAAACACTGTTAAACACAGTTGCAACATATGCACAGTTAACTTATTGGTTTGTGTCAAATAGTCTTGAGGGTGGAGTGTGCAGTGATTGAGTACTCTTCTACTTTATAGTGGAAGGTGTAAAACTGTCCCTATATTGAAAGTCCTATTTATGTGATCATTAGTATGATTGTGATGTTTGCTATTTCATTTAAAGAAACTCAGTCATTCTCTTTAACTACCCCAGTTTCAGACAAGCTGGAAGGCTGTGTAAAATGTAAACAGAATGCAATGATTTGAAAACTTCATAAATCCATATCTTATTCACAATAGAACATAGAAAACACAAAACATTTTTAAACTGAGAACATGTACAATTCTAAGACAAAATGGTCATTTTGCATCTGATGGTAGCAACACATCTGAAAAAACTTGGGACTGGGCCATGTTTACACTGCGGTGACAACAGTCTGTAAACATCTGGGAACAGAGGAAACCAGCTGCTGGACTTTTGGGAGAGGAATGTTGTCTTGTTCTTTTCTGATAGAGGATTTTAGCTGCTCAGCAGTCCTGGGTCTTCTTTGTTGTAGCTTTTACTTTCATGATGTGCCAAAGTTGGTGAAAGGTCTGGACTGCAGTCAGACCAGTACAGCACCCAGATTCTTCAACTGTGAAGCCTTGCTAAAAAAATGTCCTCTGCATGGGAGCATATATTGCTCTCAAAACTCTATATACCCTTCAGCATTTAAGCTGCCTTTCCAGATGTGCAAGCTGCTAATTCTATAGGAACCAAAAGAGATGCAGGCTTTTGAACTGAGTGTTGATAACAGGCTGGATGGTCCAGAGGCAATTTTTGCCCATTTTTGTCAAAACATTTCACATTTCAATTTGTCTCCCAACAGAACAGTTCTCCACTTTAATGCTTCAGTTATTAAAACAAACAAACAAACAAACAAACAAACAAACAAACATAAAATGTTGCCTCACAGAAGACAGAAGCATTTCTGGATTATGCTCACACATGGCTTTTTCATTGCATCATATGGCTTTAAAATACAGTTTGTGGATGGCACGTTGAAGCACGGTGAACTGTGTTCAGTCAGTGATTTCTTAAAGTGTTCTTGAGCCAATGCAGTGATTTCCATGACACAATCATGATTTGTTTAAATGCAGTGCTGTCTGAAGATCACAGCCATCCAATATTGATCTTGCACAAAGAGAATTCTCCAGATTCTCTGAATCTTGTGAGGAAATTATGTTGTGTGGTGATGAGCTATTTAAACCTTTTGCAATTGACTAAGAATCTCTGAATCTCTAAGATGCCTGTTTTATACTACTAAACTGTTGTCAACTAACCTAATTATTTGTAAAATAAACCAAAATAAAAAGAACCACTTACTTTTCAGGCCCTTATTGCCCCTTTGTCAACTTTTTTGGGACACGTTGCTGCCATCAAATTAAAAAAAAAAAGTACATTTGTTTAGTTGATTATTTCTTAGTTGTAACAATGGTTCTTGGCAATAAATTCCATATTTTTGGAAAGCCTGTTTATTTCCCCTTAAATGGTTCCAGATGTAAGGAGTTTATTTATTTGTAAATAACTATATTTGTGGGTTGAGCAGCAGATCTGAATATGTGCTACATCACTCAGTTGGCATCTGCTTACGTTGCTTGGGTTGTATTTATTCTTTTAAACATCATCTTAAGACTAATTTATTTAGGCTAGCTTTTAATTAGATCTGTGCTGCGTGTTTAATTGTACTGTTTTATGTTTATCTGTTTTATATTATTGTGAAGCACTTTGTGGTTTTTATCCTGTGAAGAGTGCTATATAAATCAATAAAGTAAAGTAGCTTCAAGCATGCCACGTTTGACTGATCTGGATAGGGCCTGTGCCATGGGGCAACTTGAAGTTGAAGAAACCAAGTTGCTGCATTATTTGGACTGAACTGCACACAGCCAATCGCCATTCTCAAAGGGCTGCCAGGAGGCCTGTCATGACTGCTCTTCATCCTCAGGCCTGTTTGCATTGGTCTTGCAACATGTGCAGTAGAACCTAAACAAGTAGAGGAACATTACGTTCAGTGATGAGTCCAGATTCTGCCTACGGCAGCTGGATTGTATGGTCAAAGTGTGAGGAAGATGCAAAAAACACTATGCTGGTTGCTCCCCTGATAAGGTAGCAGCTTTTGATCTCCTCTACTGGAAAATTATTGGAGGCAATCTTGATACAGAGATATCAAGATAAGATTCTGCAACCAGTGGTAAACCCATATTACCACAATCTGAGAGACTATCGCCAGAATTTGGGAGTGGAGAGAATAGAAGCTGACTTGCAATAAATACTGGTGGAAGAATGGGATATCATCGCACAGCAGTGTGTGACTGAGCTGTTGACCAGCATGAGGAAAGGGGTCTGGCTGTCTGTGTCTGTGTATGGTTGTTCCACATGCTGCCCTGATTGTTAAATAAATAAATTGTTAAATTGCCAACATGTCTTGTTTCTTAAGACTTAAATCATCCAATCAAATAAACCTTTTACGGACTTTTTTTTTCAGTTTTAGTCCTTTTAGACATCAGTACTGCTTTGATGTTGTAGCTCATATCCATTTAAATCTTATTTAATCAATAGACACTTTACAATTAAGCTGGGAGACACATCATCCTGACATACTGCACTCTCAGGTGGAGTCCTTCAGGGGTCCATTCTTGGCCCACTCATTTTTTTAAACTTAAATACCTCCTCTAAAGGCCTTATTGGACTAGGTAGCACTTCATAATAATGTCACACTATTAAGCATTAGTAAGGTAAGGTATTAGCTAATTATCATATCATTAGCGTATTATAATTACTCCTTAGTGTGTCATTTATAAATACAGATATCCCAGCTTCTCTGAAATTGAGGTTGTATTTAAAAAGAATGCCTGAATTTCTTTACATGAAAACCGCACACATCATAATCATACCAATAATGACTTAAACAGGGCTTCAACTATAGAAACAGTAGAAGAGTACTGCATCACTGCACACACCATCTTCAAGACACAACCCAACAAGTTAACTGTGCATACACTAACTGCATGCATAAACAGTGTTTTCACAGACAAAGTGTGTGCAATAGTAACTTAAAACTTACAGTGTGTACAAATGCATCTGCATGATAATTTATTACATGTTTGGCTCGTGGCTCAAAGCTTCATTCTCTGGTATTTATAGCCCAGTTTAGCACACTGTGTCTTTAAAAAGTTGTACTGTTAAAATGACTCAGACCGCATTCTTTGGGTAAGAAGATACACATAAATCTGATTTTTATGAAAAGGGAACTTAATGAGCAGAAATCATGAGTTGTACACCCCTGGGTATTTTTATTTTGGCATTTGAGTGAGTTTGATTATTAATACATTTCAAAAATTGGCATGTAGTTTCCTGTGAGCAAAGCAGACGTGAGATTGTGTGCTGTAAG